CGTTAGATAAACAAGAGGATGAGATGGAGGTATTTGCTTGGGGGCTAGATAGAAAGAGCGTACAAGTTAGATAACTGCATAGAAGCACTTACTGGCATTCTCGAACTTAGAAACTATGGGAGAATTGAGAGAGTAAAACTATATCTGTAGGGTCTAACTTACAATAGGAAAAAGGTAGGGCATTCCATCCAGTATGCTTATGTGGACACAATATTTTAGTGTGAGTAACTACAGTAATCAGGGAATAGCTTGGGTAGCTAGATTTGGGAAAAAGTATTAAACAAATAATGAAAGAGCTTTCCACAGTCTAGGTTTTGAGGCTGTGGGACGTGGCAAATCATGGGATCAGTTAGACTGCTGGGGAAGCATCTAGACTGAATAATGTAACTCCCCACCCCTGCCTTAAGATAAAGGCTGCAAAGCCAGAGACAGTATAAAGGAATTCAGTACCTAATGGGCTGGCTTATCAACATCGTTAGTAACTTAGTTGTCTCCCTCTGAAGTCCCCATAAATATCATGAGTTTGAGGACCATAGAGAGGGAAAGGTGCTACTGAGGAAATTTAGAATAAGAGAATCTGTGTTTGAACCCAAGCTCACTGGGACCGACACAACTATGTTCACAGAGATAAGGTTTGATCCAGCAGGAACCTCAAGGCATGTATGGAGCTTTAGAAGCTCTATTGAACCCTTTGAGGGGGGGATAGATCTTCAAAAAGTCTGAAAAGCTTTAACAGATATAAGAGTAAGTAGTGTCTATAAAGTCAGAGAGTAACATAGAGGAAATAGGAAAAAGGCAAGACAGGGGAAGCACTTATTTGGGCTACCTGATGACAAGCAGGACAAAATTTACACCAAGCTAGAGTTCCTAATGAAAATATCGAAAGTTAACTTTTGCACTTGTGTGCCTTTGGATAGTCTTTATGCTGACGAGCAGTTCACCAAAGGATGAAAGGATTAACATGAGTGAAGATCAGACAGGTAGTCAGGTTCCCTAGGCTGCAGTGGAAGAGGTGCTATGCAAGCTACTTATGACAAGGTAGACAATGAAATCTCCTGACAAGTTACAGCCATTAATGTTCGAAATATTTTGTCTTTGGTGGACACTGGGCTGAATGTGCCAAATTTTATGGCAATCCCCTAAAGCATCAAGACAACGGGAAACATAACTATGGCAATAATATAGTATAGAGTAAAAAGGAATAAACTGGTTGGGGGTGTGTGTAGTTATTCCCAAATGTATACTGTCTGTATTTCTTCACTGCAAGGGAGCATTCTGGAGATGGATACATCCCTGGGCTATGTACACTATATACCACTGCTGTAGACTTTCATCTAAAAGTGTGGAAGGTCAAGTTAAGCATTTTCTAGCAAGAGGGAAACCTATAAAATAGCATATTCTGATTATGGTGGTAGAGGTCAAACAGCTTAGATTCTCTGAGATCCACAAAAAGTTACAGAAACTATTATTAAATTTTAAAAGATAGAGATTACTTGCCCAGCTCAGAGCCCTTTCAACTGTGAAATATGACCTGTGAAAAAATCAGATGACTCTTGGACATTCTCTGCAGATTATAGCCTGTGTCCATAAACAAAAAGTAGTTACAGGAATTTGGGGAGCTCTTGGGATACTACCCATTTTTTTTTACCCTGTCTAGACCAAGTGGTCTGTCATCTGTATTATTTGATCAAGAAGAATACTATATAAGATTGAGGCAGAAATGTTCAAGAGAATTTGAGCAAGCCACAATCATTTTACTTTTACAGGATCCCATAGAAAAAAACATCACCCCCATAACAGCAGGAAGCAATTCTAGAAAGTAACCTCCCCTATCCTGACAAAGTTTGTCCTCAAAGTTAGAGCAGCCATTTAGGGGTTGACTATTACTCGCATAGGGTTGGGGGTTGGGGTGGAAATTATATAGGCCTAGAAATTTCAAAAGGGAAGATTGAATGGGATAATAAGTAATTTAGTGTGAACTTCACTAATAATAGTAATAATAGTGAGTAATAGAATGAATACTTGTGAGCTATTATTTATGGATATAATTTATACTGGTGTGGTTTCTTGTATACTGATACAAGTTCAAATTATGTTTGTTATTTCTGTTTACAATATTTGTACACCTATGCAAAGTTATTTTATACCTGTAATATGCTTTATATTATAATAAGCAAAAAACTGTTTTATTTTCTTAGACACATATGCTGGACCATTGTTGATAACTCTTAGATCTGTCACCATTCTTCATTTTCCTTATTTTTTTTTAACTACAAATACAAGAGAACTCCAAGGGCTGGTTGATTCTTCAATATGGTGAGCATCTAATTGCTCCTCTACCAGCTGTTCTAAAGCCTACAGTTTGTCTTCTGTTAAAGGCCATTGTTTAACCCACGTGGGTTTCTCAGTTGACCATTTTAAAGGCAAGGCTGTTAGTACCTCTGAAGGTTTGTTAGTTGTTTTGTGTTCTTGTACAGCCTGAATGGCTGGTGATGTTTGTTTATAATATCTATAATATCCTTCCCAGAAATATGAGGTTTTTGGGACTGCAGGAAGGTTAACCTGGGCATTCCATTGTTGCAGTAGGTCACAGTACCGTAAATTCACTACATTATTAGTTACATATGGTCTCAGCCTTCCTTTCTGTCCTTCAGGCCCTATGCATTCAACCCACGTCGTGTTTTGTTTTACTTGAGATAGGGTTCCTTGGAATTGAATATCTGCCTCTTGAAGAGGCCAGTCTGGATGCCAAGATTCTGGGGTAATGATAGCCACATCCACACTTGTGTCTAGTAATCCCTCAATTACAACATTGGTTAGCTCTTCCTGACTTCTTCAGTCTTTTTTTTTTATATCATCCAGGAACATCTTCAGAGTGGTAGCACCATCCATTGTGGGATGGAACGTTCTACATCCATTGTTAATTATAATTAGGATGCTCTATAGACTGGATCTCTGGCTAATATGCTGAAGAATTTTCACAATTGATGATCCTTCTACCTAAATGATTAAAGTTTGCTTCAAGCTGGCAAAGACTAAGTAGGAAAAATATTTAATTTTGTTTATATTCATGTATGTGTTGTTGTAGAATGTTATTTTAAATTGTGGTACATTTGTTTATGCTGTGAAACATTTTTTTTTAATGATGCAAAGCTGTGTTTCAATCTTTTATGTTGTATTTGCTTAACTCTGTGAAGCTATTGTTCTTTGCTTGTCTGAAACACTTGATGATCTAATAAAGAGCTGAATGACAAAGAGTGAGTCAGGAGAAATGAAAGGTGGGGGTAGCAGGGCAAAGAGAATAAATAGAAAGGGAAATCTGTGAGGAATAGAAGGAGCAAGATAGAACAAGGAGAAGATGACATCAGGGGTCAGACATCTAGCTACACAGCAAACCATGGAGAAAGAAGTAAGATGTACAGAAAAAAAAAGGAAAAAGCCCAGAGGCAAAAGATAGATGGGGTAATTTAATGTAAGAAAAGCTGGCTAGAAACAAGCCTCTGTGTGTTTATTTGTGAGTTGGGTGGTGGTGTACTCCAAAAGTCAAAAGAGTAAAAAGAGTATAATAATTAATAGCAATTAATAGCAATGTGTCAATGCATATCTGTATGCATGTATGTATGTATAAACATATATATATACATAAAAGTTTTTTATGATGAAAGTAACTTTATTGCTTTCAATGTTTGTTGTCATTCTATTAATTATAGTTGATTATATAAAAATAAATACAAATAACATTTTGTGCTTATATCTTATCATTTCATTAAAAACTGAAAAGTCCATGAAGAGTTTAATTATAGTGTAAATTTCAAAACATACATTTCAAAACATACTCTGAGGGAGAAGATACAAATCCCAATTCCTAATGTTGTTAAATCTGAGACTTTACAATCACAAGAAAGTTGTTATATAAACTAAGATAGTGTACAATCCCATTCATTTTAGACAGCAAAAACAATACAGTGGGAAGTAGGTGTCACCTGTATGTAAGTGGAAACTATTGTGCAGGTTCTTTTGTTATTACTCTTCAATCTTTACCATAGTATACTTCATATAAATCATGTTAAACCCAGGTGTGGACATGAGGAAGACCCAAGCCTCTGGTAGTTTGGTATTAGCAATTAGATGGTCATGACAGATGAGCTGAGAGTTCTCTCAGAGTTCTACTACACCTCTGGTGGAGTGTATTGTTCACTAAGACCAGCTACACTTTGTTGTGTGTTAAATGTTTTATTGATCATAGCAGGTTTTATAGCAAAGAATGAAGTTGAGGAATCAGTCTCTGAAAGTCATTAAAAAAAATAAAACCTGTGAGGTAAGAAGAATCTTCCAATACAGAATCAATGAAGTGTCTTTTGATAAACCTATAATATTTAATATATTTGTGTGAGATTGAGTCCTATATTTAACAGCAAAGCGTGAGGAGCAATGCATAGTTCATGATTTTCCCGTAGAAACTGATCTCTCTCAGTCAACGAGACCCAGCGCTACTATCAGTCACTGAAAATTGATATGTGAAAAATGAATCTCAAAAATTCTTTTAAACTTTTAAAATATGAGAGCATATCTTATACCCCGGAGGCTAGGGTTCAAAACAAGGATGCTAACCATTCTATCTTGTGATGCCAGAGGATATATACATGCATTATAGTCAATAGACAGCAAAAAAGGTTTTTATTGCTCATTTATATTTTTTATATTATGAGCATATTCATTATAATAATCATTGGAAAATCAAGAGTTCAGTTGATAGTCTAAGTGAAAACTTTAAGAGCAGGAAGAGAAAGGGAATCAGTGTGAAAGTATCTCACGCCAGTTGGCATGAGGCAACTCCTTTGAGTCATTCATACCCAGCATTGATGGGAAGACTGTTATAGTAAACTTTGGCACCAATCAATTGATAATTTTTCATGAAATTATAACAGCACAGGACACACACATAGACTGTGGTAAGTTCAGTGTGGTCTGGCTGTTAACAGCACTTGCTTTCCTTGCAGATTGTTTACATGGGCTGGTGCGAAGCACGGGAGCAGGAATCACTCCAGGACCGTGTGTACACACCTGTCTTTCTCGCCCTGAGGGGCTCCTGTCTTTACAGGTTCCCTTCGCCTCCAGTAAGTGCTTGCAACCAAATGTTTGAGCTCTTGGAGAAGCTGATAGGAGACCGACATGGCATAAATGATGCTTATTTAACAATACATTTTGAAAATGAGGCACAGCACAATTAGTAAATAGTTAATACATGTTTTGTCAAATGTAAAGTCTTGAAGAAATTAGATGTTTCTGCTTAAGAAGCTTCTAAACAGAACAAGTCATAATATTGTTAAAAATTTTGTGAAGTCATGGGGAAAGGTTTAAGAAATATACCCACATATATGTGAGGGAATTCAATCATTTTGATGAGGAAGTAAAGAAAAGATAATAGGTAGGATAAGAGATTTTTAAAAATTATTATCCATTACTTCTGTATTTGTGGACCCTTTGAGTGTCCTTAGTCTGTATTTGGAGCGTTTCATTGTCTACATTAAATGTTCAACTTGCTTTTAAATTTTATTAACCCCCAATACATAAAACCTCAGCATAGTAAGTCAATATTAAGTCTAGGTCTGTAAAGCCAAATTCTATGATGTTAAAACTTTAAATGAAAGGCAGGTGTGATGGAACAAGCCTTTGATCTCAGATTGAGGTCTTTAAGGCTGGCCAGGTGGACGTAGTGAGACTGTCAGAAAACCAACTACTTTAATACAGCAAAACAAGAGTAAGCTTATAAAATACGAAAAGATCAAATGGAATTACCTTGGGGAAAGAGAAATATTTTCGGGAAATACATTAGTTTTCCCTATGGTAAAAATTACGTAGGTAGATCAACCACTAAAGAAAAAGAGTTCATCTTGTCTAACAGTGTCAGAGGATTCAAACCCTGACCATGCAGCCCTGTTTCTCTGGCTTCGAGCAATATTGTGCAGCATGGTTGGAGTACAAGCCAGCGAAGGCTGCTTACCTTCTAGCAGCCAGGATATAAAAAGAATAAGAGGACTTGGGTTGTTAATGCTCCATGGAAGTTCTTGTCTCTGGTGACTTAAACTTCCTTGAATTATAGCTCAACTTCTAAATATTCTGCCATGTCCAAAACTATAACAGACCATTGACAGCCGTTCAATACATGGGTCTTTGGAGATAGTCAAGTTCAGCTACAGCATTAAGCCGTCACTTTCAGATCAACATATGACCTTCCATATGATGTAGTTCTTTTGGAACTATGTTTGCAATATGTTATATTGTATAATCTACATACACTAAACATATCTACACATCTCTTTCTTTAAAGCCTTGCTTTGAAAGCATGTACCTTACAGAGAAGTAAAACTCAACAAATATTTATTGGCTGTAAACACAAGATGTCATACTGCTCAAAGACAGGTTTAGTAATATAAAGGATCTAGGAGTTTTCAAGTCTGAATCATTGTTATTTTTAATGTTTATGCCTACCCAAAATTCATAGTACCAGAAAAAAAATGTTTATATTTTTTGCTGTATTTCTTCCCTGAGTAATATCTTCTGCTTGGAGAGATAAAATATTTCAAAATAAGTAAGGGAACTATCTTCATAGTGGTGTTGTATCTTTCCAGTATCTCAATAATTTTGGAATGCTTTTTAAATATCAACAACTTATTTTTAAATTATTGAGATCCAGGTTGATATTTTATGTCCTTCCCTGCATCTTACTAAAGAAAAATACATACATATTACTTGCATCAATATATGTGTTCAGAGAGTACACAAATCATTTTTTTAATTTGTCAAATGAAAAGTGTTAGTGACAACTTAAAATACTTTCTGAAAAGAGGGATACAAACGGTCATAAATCTTGGATAAACCCAAATGGTGGAGAATGAACTTTCTATGAACTCCGTCAGTGATGGAGAAAGTAAAGAAACGCATCTGTGAATGTGCCATTATCCAGATGAAGCAGACGGGAGCAGAAGTGCATTACTAGAGCCAATGAACTGTTCTCTTTTAAAGGTGACCACATGGGATTGGACACGAGCAGATAAAACTTTCTCCATATGTGAGATCATGTGCAAGGTTCTCAAGGTATGTGCAGCAAGGGCGGGAGCTTCAGTCTGCTATGTTCTGCAGAGTCGGGATCTGAGCTCATGAAGGGCCCATGTGTACAGATAACAGATAAATAAAAGAAAATATGAAGAGAGAAAATTAATGATAATTAAAGGAGGAAAGCTGGAACACACAGAAACACACAGTTACTCAGAGAGCAAGTCTTTGACAATAGAAAACATGAAATCAAATACAGAAAATACTTGCTTTGCGTTGGGATCTGATAATCACTGTATATCATAGATCAGTTAATTTCTCTGTGTGTGACTCTTAGAATTGCCATAGCAACAAGTCATCAGGAATTCTGAAAAAAATTTTAAATGACTTACACAGACTACAGTAAGAATTAGAGTGGTCTATTTGGAAGAAGCATCAGTGCAAGTTTCTTTTTAAAATTTTTATTTTGCAGGTATAATAATAAAAAAATTTTATTTTGCAGGATATTATATATTATATTATATTGTAATATAATATGTAGAGATAGATGACATCATCTTGAAGCAAACTTTCATTTTCTTCATATCACAGGTTCATTCTTAGTTATTAAAAAAGACAAGCATTTTCAAGGTTAACAATAATTAATATTATTGTTATGGGTAGTATGTGCAAATGAATATAAGTACCCTCAAAGCAATATATGACTAAGGCAAAATTTGGTATCAGGAGTGTGTCATTACAGGAACAAACCTGACCATTTGGTTCTTTGGAGATTTGAAAGACTTTGAGACTTTGGAGTAGAACAGTGTTTGAATTGAACGATTTAAATGGGGATTATTAGGCTATTCTAATAGGATCCTTCAAGATGGTAGTGCTGAGTAGGCGATATTGTAGGGGCCAACCTCAAGAGGTTTCAGAGGGCAAGATTATTAGTAAATGGCTTTAAAAACTCCTTTATAACCAAGAGACTGTTGTGCTATTTTGCCAAACAATGGGCTACTTGCTGCCCTTGACCAAAAAAATTCTGCCTGAAGCTAAATTCAAGAGTTTTGTATTAATAGTGTTGGCAGAGTAGCATCTTCTGGATGCTTCAGGCAAACCCCCATAGAATAATTAGAAAATAAAGCTTACGTAAGCTTCTTTTAAAAGCTAGTTATCCAAAAGGAACAAATATAAGAATATCGAAGAATAATTCTCACACACCAGGCATTAATCACTAAGAACTGCAATTCCATTTTTTTTTTAGTATTACATGGTTTTAGCTATAAGGTTTTTTAAATTTAAAATGTGTTTTCAAAGAAGGATTAAATGGCCATATATATGTTACCTGGTTCAAACTGGATTCCTATATGTTATGTGTCCAAAATGTGTGTTGTCTTCAGCAATAGGGTCTTATCTTCAAGTTCTCAGAGTCAAGCAAGGACAATAAAAACAGACTATATTGTTTTGGTAGATTTGGGGACCCTACCACCCAGCTAACTCAAAAAGAGCAATCTTGTACTTTATGTTAAATATTAATCCCATTTTCAGCCACTGTTCAGTTCATGTTTCTTATGAATCCATGCAGATGCACCACACACGACAGTTTTATACTTGCATTCATAATAATCGTGCCGGCATATTTAGTGCTGTTTTTGTTTAATATCTGTCACTGAGACACTCCCAGATATACTTGCTACAAATCACTAAAAGCACCTGGCCACCTATTTACCTTTGCGCTGCACTCACATTGTGCCTTTAGTATTTTCCCTTTAGATGGAGCCTATGGTATCTTCATAGCTCACTGAATGTTTTCATCAAGTGTTAGAGTTAATTCTACAATACTGGAAGTAACTTCTTTTATTCTTCCAGTATCAAATTGGGATGCAAAAAGATAGATATTCTTTTCAAAATTATTGCTAAAGTCAAAGATTTTACACATTTCCACTGTTTAGTGATGGTGCATTTGAATGCAGTCTTCGATCAAAGGCTTAATATTAATGATTACCCTTTTAACAATTTTTAGTACACTGAATAAATATTTCAAATTATGTATCAAAATAGTACAGCCTGTTGTCCTATACTTTTTCATATATAAATATTTTGAATTTGGAATGTACCTTGGAATTGAAATGTGTTGGCTTAGGGAAACACCTTAAGGGAAAACTTGGGACCAAACCAAGAAATTTCTAGAAGCAAAATCTTCTGACGCAATGAAATAAAATTGTACATATAAATGAAGTGTTTGCTTTGGGGAGTATACAGTGTAATTGGGGTAGACAAATTGTGTTCAAGTTTTTCCTAATTTCCTATGAGTTCATGGTTTTTAAAGGATTTGCAAAATCATTTCAGTGAAACTCTCATGCCTATGAAAGATTACATCATCATAAACATTATTCCATCTCAAGTGTTGAGACAGCTTTACAAGGTTGTATGTCAGGCTGTTTTGCAATCAGAGAGAGTTGTTGTGTGTCGAACACTGTAGTTGTTATTCTTTTGTTAGTAAAAAACAAAACTAGCAGGCGAATCTCTGTGAGTTCGAGACCAGCCTGGTCTACAAGAGATAGTTCCAGGACAGTCTCCAAAACCACAGAGAAACCCTGTCTCAAAAAACCACACACACACACAAAAAAAAAAAACAAAACAAAACAACAACAACAAAAAAAACACTAGAGTCGTTTCTGGTGGATGAGCATCAGTAGTTAAAATAGGAAATCGTGACAGGTGTGGAATTTGAAATTTGTTTGTAGTGAGTATTCTGATAAGGTTAATGACAGTACAGAATTTCACGTGTTTTATAGAATCTACACACTGTTTTAAGCAGCGTTGGTAGGTATTTTCTGTGCTGAGTATGAATTGATGTATGCCAGCCTGTGTAACTCCAGGTTTTCATCAGGACAGTGACCTGCTGGATCGGCGGAAACATTGCTTTACCATGCAGTCAGAGTGTGGGGAGGACTTCTACTTCTCGGTGGAGTTAGAGAGTGACCTTGCCCAGTGGGAACGAGCCTTCCAAACAGCCACCTTCTTAGAAGTAGAACGGATACAGGTAAGAACCTGTGTGTGTGGTACCTGGGGAGATCTCCCCACTCACTTGAGTTCACAAAGCACATGAGCACAGTTCTGTGAGGTTGCCCCCATCTCAAATGCATCCAATGTTTAACTGTTATCAAAAAATGAATAATTAGCCATATTATTGAAGTTCTTTTTACATAATTTTGCCTTTGCAGTTTACTTACTAATAAATATTACTATAATTTGAATCTTATATAAAAATGCTCTGATTATAGTTCACTATTTATGAGGTTGTTTCCATTCTGTAGACTTGACCACCTAGTTTCTAGATGCCTCCCTTCATCTCTGCCTTTAAAGCAAATCATAGTATGTGAAGCTTTCTTCAAAGGTTACTTCATGCATGGGCAACCTCATAATTTCTAAGGGTTCCTACCATACTACTTTCACAACAACTTTGCTGACTTTCCCTTCCTCCCACCTTAGCAAAAATACCATTTTCTTTTACTGTTTTCTTCAGATGGCTCACATCATCACATTGGAAATATTTGTTGTCAGAGGTTGCTTATTTTATTCCTCTATGGATTGAAGTTTACTACATTTTTCAAATCACAAGTATCCAGTGGGTACTTACTGAATTGTAGTTCGTCAGTATGAAGTCATATCTAAGTCAGATTTGATATGTCCTTTAACTTACTCAAATACATGAGATCCTGAAACAAGACACCTCATAAAATTGGTTTCGTGGTTGACTTGGAACAAGATAGAGCAAAATTCAAAGTTAAATTGGTTCCTTCCCCTTGCAATAGACTCAGAGATCAAGGACAAACATACATGGACAGTTATTTTTTAAACACATACGGTGACAGAAATCAAAGGAAAATATTTAGAATTTATTCAGCTTTTGGGTTGTTCATCTTTCATAATTTCTCTTTGTTTACTACATTTGAAATGAGTACATTTATTTGATTGGCTTGGATTTTTCATTTTCATAAAATTTCATTTGCAAATGTGAATAAACTAACAGAAAGAATGTTGTTCAATATGTATAGAATGATTATCTCAGTTTTTTTAAATATGGGGAAATGGAAGATACGGACTGGCAATACTTACCTATAATCCCAGCAATTGGGAGCTAAAGGCAGGTCAATAAAGTTGAGTGTCATCCTCAGCTGTATAATGTAATTTGAGTCCAGTCTGTGCCACATGAGACCCTGTCTCAATATAGTAAAATACAACAATAGGAAAAATAGACCTAATGAAAGATGCACAAAAGGAAAACTAATAACTTCATTAATGCTATTGAAAAAGATGATATATAAGTGTTTTTATTTCGAAATAAATTAATATTGCAAAGACTACAAAGTGATGATGTCTACCTTCAAATATATTTATTTACTTATTCATATTTTATTTTGAACCTGTAATAAACTTAGTATAGATGCTAACATATTTATTTGAAAGGATGATCCATGAAAGTACACACTTTGAATACAATCTGCATTATCATTTAAATTTATAATTAAACTTAAGAAATGTAGTGAATATTAAAACATAAAAACCACAACTTAGGAAAATAGGTTACATTTCCTAACTTAAAAAATAATGTGAGATGTAATTCATTTAGGCTAAGATTACTGGCTTTGTAATTTTACTAGGGTTAATGAATTTTGACAGTCAAGGACACATTTATTTATAACTATAACTAACATTTGTCATAACTATATACTAACCCAGTTCAACAATTACTTCTTTAAATATGTTTTGGAGAGGATACTAATGTCAAAAAATAATTACATTTATTTAAAATTATTTTTGATTTTTTTCTGAATGTGTCTTTATTTGGTAGTAAAAATTTATGTCCAGTGGTTCTTTAAGATATTTATTTTATGTATATTTTACCTGTAGATGCTATACAATATATAATTATGCAAACATCTTGCAAAGTGATTCATTTTGGAGCTTCCACAAAAGAATAATTTTTTCACAGTAAAATAACTTTTCATTACATAAATGTAACAATAAAACAATAAATAAACATTTTATTATATAAATGCATTAAATACACTCAGGTTTGTTGACATTTTAAGTTATACAGGAAGGCTTTATTGGATCTCAACTTATATATTTATCTATTTATTTGTTTCCATTTAATGATTATTGAGGCAATATAATTTAGTTAGGAATGTTGAACTTAATGTGAAAATTCTATTGCACTATAACAAATACGATTTCACCTGGAATCTTCCTTTTAATTGGATGTACAAAGAAATGGCAAATAATTAAGACTATATAAAAGTAAACACTGTAGCCTTGAGCCCTCTTTAATGTTGATCTTAGTTTTAATATATTACTAATGAGTGAATTCAGCTATTTAAGAAGCCCATGTATTAAACAAATACAATCACACCAAAGCATGTACATGGCTTCTAATCTACTATTTTAACTCTAAATAAATAGTTATCATAGCTTTAGGTTTTTAATGCAAATTAGGCTTTAATCATATGGATATAACATTCTGATAAAAATAACTTGTTATGTTAAGTCATAATTATAGGCACTTGTGATAGGCAATATATTATATAAATATAATACAAACAAATACAATATAAGAATTAGCATCTGAAAATTGCTGAAGGAAATAGTTCCCTCACATGCTATTTATGATTATAGTTCATCTAATAGAACCATTTAGCTTGAAATGAAATTCAAAAAAACCTAGAAAACTAGCTATAAAAATGTTTCATGTTGTATATGAGGCCCAAATTGTTTCATATATGAGTTATTTCCTTTTGATATTTTAGTATCTATATTTACTTATCTTTCCAAAATTTTACAAGTAAAATTATGATGACCTAGGGTCATATTCATGTTAGGAATTTATTATTTTACCGAACCTCACTTATGCACATGCTAAGTATTATGTGTGTAGAAAATATGTTATATTTCCCTTGATAGCGATGCTGTACCAATCACTTGAAAGCTAACAGTATACTCTGCTTTTCCCAGTGCAAGACCTATGCTTGTGTGCTGGAGAGTCACTTAATGGGCCTCACGATTGACTTCAGCTCGGGTTTCATCTGCTATGATGCAGCAACAAAGGTAATATGTTCCAGGTGACAGGAGATTTAGAGCGACAACATTGTCAACTGAGAATGAGTGAAAAGCCTTTGAAGTCTTTGCTGGACTCAAAATAATTGTATTCTGGATTTAAGATCCTCATTTTCATTCATGGAACATAATTTACATTTTAATGCGTTTTTCGTAAACAAAGTCTGAATTTTAATAAAGCATGATTAATGGATAATTAATATACCAAAGTAAATATATATCACTGTCCTGATATACATATATACATAGAAAGAGATGATTGATTGATAGACTTTATAGAGACAGAGACAGACATATAGGTAGATTGTGGAAAGTACATGAATAAAGGAAAGATAGATCATAGTCAACAGCCAGTTTAAAGATAGATGATAGAAAGATGCATAACAGTTGATTAATAGTGGATACAGATTTATTCTCCTTTTGAAAATATAGCTTCATACTTTTGGGAATTTTTTTCTCTAGATATTATTTTGAAGAGTTCTGTCAGTTCTGTCACGAGTTTTCTGAATTAAATCTAGATGATGAATATAAGGAACAGGTTTTTATAGTTAATGTCTCAGAATTACGTATGGAATGGTGCAGCTTGGGTGTTTGGAAACTCTAACAAATGAGGGTCTGCCTTAAACACATGACTTAATGTGAATACTGAATATTCTGATGGGTTTCGTGTTTCACAAATCATTCATACCCTTTGGAAAGAAATGGACTTTCCTGGACCATCATAGCTTTAAGAATAGTCAGTCTCATTGATTAGGTGAAAAAGCTAAAGTATTCCATTCTTTATTATCAGCTGGAAGTGATCTTCCAGCTCCTCTAGTTCCAGTCTCCTAGTTCATGCTACAGCATCTTCAGTGGTCTTCAATTTGCAGGAATGTGTCTTGCTACTGTCTCCTTTATTAAAGGATGGCCCAGGATGGTATTAATTGAAGAATTCCCTCTCAGTAGTTTTAGAGACTAATGAGTAATCTGTTTCTCTCAAATTATTGTGTGCACAAGATTTTCTATAGAAAATAAGACAGTAACACATAGGCGAGAAAAGTAGAGTATAGATTATTTAGGGATGAAGTGGATCGAATGGTGTACTGAACTGGTCATGTGAGCAGGATACTAGCACATTCATAGAGAATTACAATTCTTTATGAATCATGAATTCATGACCCAGCACCTGTGATTGTCATTCAGAAAGACCCCACTATCTAAGGACTACAATGGCAGCTTCATGTTCACAGTGAAATCCAATATTACATGCTGGAAGAATAAAATTATGTCACATAATTAGTGGTCTCTGTGGGATGCCTAAAGAATACTCAGTAATTAAAATTTCCAGATGTACCCTTCTGATATGTTTAGTAAGGCTACTATCAAATAAAAATAAGCTTGTGGGTGTTAATCTAGTGAAATAACTAATCTACTGATTAGTTAATCAACCTGAGTATTAAATTAATTTGATAAGTATATATAGCAATAAATGAAACTTATTTGAATGAAAATAGTCTTTTTAAAATTGGAAATGTGTTTACTTAATATGAGTCAATATAGCCAGCAGTCTATACTCAGTCATTTGTTAGTCTCTAGGAAATATTTGAAAAATTTGATCATTTACTTGTTGCTGCTGTTATGAAAATTAACAGCCTTATTAAAATATAATATACACACTATATCCTGCACTCCTATGATACAGACTAAGTACAGTTACAAAATGGTGTAAACATCACCAAATCCACTTTGGTAACTTTCCATATTCCCAGAAGAACATTTTTATTTATTAGTGATTTCTCTTTGCATCAGTTACTTTTTGAGAAATTTAGAATTTTATATGTTTATTTTGTGTGTTTCAACATTTTCCCTATATGTATCACTATGTACTCTGTGTACACGGTACCCATGAAGAAGAAAAGGTTGTTAGATGTCCTAGAACTCGAGTAACGGACAATTATTGACTGCAGCGTAGGTGCTGGGGATCAAACCCGTGTTCTTTGCAATAGCAAAAAGTGCTCATAACTGTTGATCTATTAGACCATATTTTAAAAAATATTGTCATACTGTTTACATTCTTCCTCTCCTCTGTGCACCCCTTCTATCCCTCTATTTTCTCTCAAATTCATGATGTTTTTACCTTTGTTATTGTTTTACACACATACACAAACACACACACACAAACACAAACACACATACACCCTGCTGAGTCCATTTAGTTTTTCTGTGTGTATGCTTTCAGGGTCAATTACTTCTCATTGGATAACCAATTAGGGCATTGGTGGGCGTATATTTGGTTCTCTTATCATTGATACTGCATATTATTCGAATATGTTTTTTAGTAAAAATTTAAAAGCCATCTTTTCTCTGTTACCAACAGAGGACAACTGAACTCAAAGAACATAAGCATGCTGGCATCAAATTGCCCATTGCCATGACTCACCTGCCGCTTCTTCCTAAATCACAGGAGCATTTTTATACACAGGACATTTTATGCTGCATAAATGTCCAGAGTAATGATGAAGGCAGTAAAGCATTCATTCTCCAACCTGGTTAAATGTTTAAGTCAGTGTTATCTGTTATTGGTGTTTCTCTGTGAGACAGCTCTGGGACTACCAGCTTTCAAACATGGTTTTAACCTGTTAGGCTTTTATTACTGTTGCTGCTACAGCTTCAAGGTTGAATTATATAGTACATGATTAATTCTAATATAGGCTACTCGAACCAGTTCTTTTGTATGAGATATCCAATAGTCATAAATAACACATAATGTGTTAATATTTCATTTTAAGATAGTGATTAGCTCATATCTTTTAAATTAATACCCATAAAAGATTAATAATATTTGTCAGCATTAGTCTATTGTCTGAAGTTAAAGTTATAGGCTTACGGTCTTCCTTATCTCTATTATTAATTTTAATAAGATATAAAATGTAAATATTATTTTTGAGAATATGTAAAATTCATTCCATGTGTAACAGCAGTAATTTATAAAACTTGCACATTATAATATAAAATTTACTTAGGGCATCACATACTTTCAAGACAAGACTTGGAACACCAAGCTGAAACTGACCTGGAAGCCTCCTCCCAAAGGAGAACCTCTGATACCAACGAAAGGAATTATGCAATGCAAGTTTCCAAGAGAGAAAAACAGGCAATAGTCATTCTCATCTATGAAGCCTATAAACCAAAATACCAATCCTAACAGGAAATATTCAATGGTGCAAGAGTGAGTGGTAAATAGTCGCTAATAGTATAATCATAGTAACCAAGTTTGTCTGATTGGATTAAGGCAATTCAAAAATAAAATAGCATCAATAAAAAGTATGATGGCATGTGTACTCAGAAAACTAGAGAATTGGTGTGACTACAAACTGTACTCAAAGTTAAAAGTTATGAACATCCACCCGTAGAGAACACATTCATGGTTCACTCTACTGGAATTTTTTCTGTAATGTGTTTCTACAGTTATAACACAAATTCTACCATGCTATTCTTTATGCTTCTTTTCTATAGTGTTTTAATTATTTTACATTGAAAGTGACTTATTAAGATCCAGGAAGAAAAATTGAAAATAAGAAAGATAATGTGTGTTAGCAACTTTACACGTGGAGCCACGTATGACAGTACTCCTAGGAGTCTTATCTCTGCACAGGACGCTCTGTGGAAGCTTGACAGCGTTCTACTAGCAACCTAACCGTCTAATAAATGTTTCAGAGGCAGACAAGTTATTAACCTGCTGGACTTTTTAATGTTACTTTTCAGTTAAGTCAATCCCTTTGCTTTGAGGAAAATGAAAAACATTGGATTTATTGTAAAAACACACACAAAAGCTCATCCATTTACAGAAATAATCTAACAGATAATTCTTTTCTAGTGCTCATATACATTAAATCAAACCTAAGCTAAAAATTCAAGGGATATATGACTCCAAAGTTTATGCGAATATTATGCAAATACAGCCATAAAATTCCTGAAAACTCTTACTTGAATATATTGTGGAGTAACATGAAAATTAAGATGTACTTTAGTGTCCATATTTATAATTCAAAGTGCACAATGACAACATCAGGTAAAAGACAAAAGTATTTTTGCTAAACAATAACAACTACTTTCTGTATTCTTTGTACTTGACATCTTTATCATTTAAATTTCAAAATTTTCATTTCTTATACCTTTTGATACGTTTTCTTTTTAATGTGATTTTCATTAAGAATGCTTGACTTAAGTATTTTAATGTGTTTTAGCTAGTTTATATTGGAATTACTAATTTCATTTATGTACAAGTATTTAAATAATTTAAAAACCCATCTTGGGACACTTCACATATTAAACAAATAAATAAGAGCTATACATCAACCTTATAATGTTATGCTGAAATTATAACATTTAAAGATTATTTCTAAGTAGCCCATATTTCAGTGGATGTTGTCTCCGTCATAAACATGTTATTTCCTCTGGCCATGCAATCTGTGTTAGGAGGCATGCTGTTCCTGTGAATTGCTTGAGAGAGGAAAGAGTTTCCGAACTCCTAGTCCATGAAGGAATGCTTCCTTTGTTCTGAGCCTGTGGTAGGGCACATCATGGCCAGGAAGAGAAAAGAACAAGAGTCCTGCCATATCCTTTGTGAACATGGCCTTAACGACCATGCTTTTTCCCATCAGCTCACATATTTTACCATCACGGCCACTTTCTGCAGTGTGATCTTGGGGCTGAATCGAACAGCCAGGCCTCTTGACTCTTCTCCAAATCATAGCTAAATACATTGTGCTTGCTTCCTGTTCTGATTTACCCTGACAGCACTCTGCTGCTCCTGTCCTCTGAAACATGCTCCTGGCAGGCCCTGTAAAGGGGAGAAAGCTACTATGAACCTTACTCTCTTCATTTCTCTAAGGCAGTTGTTATAAGTGACTAATACATGAGACCCTACCCTCACTAGTGGACTGGTGCTCCTATGAGGAGTTTCAGGGAATACTCTTGTTTTTTTTTTTTTTTCACCTCTGCTTTTTATC